AGAGGGTGCAGGATCCCTTCGGAGCCCGCCACACAGGAGCAGGAATTGTGGGCAGCTGCCCCGGTTCATAACCGATGTTTTGTTTGGATGAAATGAAGCCGATCTGTGGTGTTTGACAGGGTCTGGTGCGCGAGCTGTCAGGGCGGTGATGTGCAGCAGGGGAGCCTTGCCGAGAGCCGTGCCAAGTTCCCGCCTCGGGAGGACCCGAGCGGCCGGTGCGGCCGGAGCCGGGACGCGTGCCAGGACACCGACAGCCACCGCAGGGCTGGGCGACCCCCCCAGGGCACGGGGCAGAGACCCCCTGTGTGAGTGGCCCCTTTGCAGAGCTGCCCTCCTCTGCCCCTGCCTCGCAGCCCCCCCGCATCCACCCCAAGGATGACACTGCAAGAAGGGGCATCCACTCATGGACATCCCTGGGGTTTTGGGGAGCACCGCTACGAGCCCTGGGCCGATGATGATGGCTGGTGGGGACCACGCCTGTGGCCCGGCTCCCGCAGTCTCCGCTCGGCAGCCCCCTGCCTCTTGAGGGGGGGGCAAGGTTATTTCCTCACAAGGAAGCAATTTATGGCTGGAAAGCTGCCCCAGCTTTGCCACCACGACCTCCTCCCCGCTCCCCTCGCCATCGGCCATGGCGCGAGAGCGGCTGCGTGGGACCGTGCGGTGCCAAGGGATGCTGGCACCCCTCTGCCCACGACGCTCGCCTGCGTGGTTGCAGGGGGGGGCTGCCTGTCCTGTCCTGCTGCCTGCACCACGCAGAATTGGAGTGCTGCACGGCCGCTGCAGCTCCGAGGCGCAGTAAGGATTGGGGGGAGCCGCATGCCCCCTCGCAGGTTGCCTCCGCCACAGCTGCGCACATCTGGCTCCATCTTTGCTCAGCTGTGGGTGGCCGGTGGGGGGGGGGTTGGAGCCAGACCCCCTCCCGCTGCCTTGCGGTGGTGCTGACCCTGCAGCTGGGTGGGACGTACGGGGCGGCCGGGGGCGGCGATGGCCCGGGGTGGGGGGGTCGCTCCCCACGCACCCGCTGAGCAGTGCTCCAGGAGCCGGACCGTGGGACCCCACGTCAAGGTGGAATTGCAAAGGTTTCCTGCCATGGCTGGCAAGCGGACAAAGCCCAGCTCTGCGCCGAGCAGAGCAGCCAGGTCCTGGGCCCGAGCCAAGAGATTGTCTCGGTCCGGCACAGCCGGAGGGCTTTAAAAGGAGAGAAAGAGGAAGGCGAGGAGTGGAAGAGACAAAGGATGCTGTGAGAGCCAAACACGCCGTCGCGGGCTGAGCGCTCGGCAGCCACCAATGCCCAGTGTCCCCAGCCACCCGCTTGGGGGGGTCCCGCAGGCAGTGACTCCGGATGCCCCATTGTTTTGGGGTCATTTCCCGAGGGACCCCATTCCACTTACCTCCTAATTTCATTTGTAGTGGGGAGGGCCCGGTGCCGGGCAGTGCTGGAGGGGTCACAGGCACCCCCCGGGCACGGATCCAGCAGCACTGGGCGATGGGGACGGCTTTGGTCCCGCAGGTCCCCGTGCAGCCCTGAGCGGGGCTTGCCAGGGTGTCCCGCACAGGGGTTGCAGGATGAGCTCCTGCAGCCTTGTCCCGGGCTTGCTGCCACCCTTGGGGCTGATAGCTCGGGGTCCTTCTCCATATGGGGTTGGTGTGGCGGCCACCCTCTGTGAGTGAAGGGTGCCGACACCAGCTTTGGGGTATCTCTGTCTCCTGGAGTTGCCCACGTGAAGAGGATGCCGTACCGGGAAGGGCAGAGAGGAGCCAGATCTCCCTGCTCCGAGACCAGCGTCCAAGCAGCACCGTCCCTCCAGACCTCCAGAGCTTCGACCCTACGAAGGGCAGCGCAGCATCCCCAGGGCTCTGCCAGAGGGACCGGATTGTCTGTGCCCAAGGCACTGGGTCCCCAAGGGGATGCAAAGAGGGCGCCCAGCTGTGCGTGCCCAGCCCTTTCCCAGCCCTGCAGTGTGCATTAGCAGCGCTGCTGGAGTTGCTCTGCTTATTATCATATTTAATTGCCCTCCTGGTAACCCCAGGAAATGAGCAGAAGATTGTGATAGCAGCAGTTTCTGATGATGTAAACACGAGCTCCATCTCTCCCCACCGCCTTGCCAAGTCAGTCCCAGGGAGAGCGGTGATTTATGGAGACCCCCAGCCCCGCTCCCCCCGCTCCCGGCTGCCTGGGCTGCGAGTTTAATCCAGGACTGTGAATTCAACATAAATCACTTGATTAAAAGCTCTACTTAATTTAGGAGGGGGGGGGGAGGCTGAGCACAGCTGATCGATTTAATTTACACAGGAAAATAGCAACAAGCAGATGCTTTTAAAAGGGCCAGTGAGGCCGATGATGCTGCAGCCATTCATCTTAACTATTTAAGTGCTCTGTAAAGGGGCTGGCAGCCTCTTGCCCCCCCGTGTTAGCCACCACCCAGCACCCCTGCCTGGACCCCGCATGCCCGAGCAGCTCAGGGGGCCGTGGGGTGCAGGATGCCCCCGTGATGCCCCGGCTGAGGGTCCTTGGCAGCATCTTTAACTGACCCAGGCTTCTTGGGTGATGAAATGCCTTTCCCAGGGCCAGCGGTTTCTGGAGGCAGCAGGTCAAATTTAAATGCAAACAGGCTGGGGCTGGCACTAGCTCCTTCCTGAGAAGAGAAAAAAAGACTGGAAAAGTGGAGAGACTGAACCAGAGCTGCAGCGGTTATGTCAGGAGGGGAGGGCTGCCTGGCCGGACCCCCACCGCCCCAGCCCCGCCGGGGGCTCGGGGGGGCCCTGGGGCTGTGTCACCCTGAGCCCACGGGGATGGTGGCACCTCCTGCAGGGTCCTCACCTGCAGGTCAGTGGGACCCGGTCCCTTGGAGGGGGGGGGGGGGGGGGGTCACCCCCAGGAAAGGACCCACCAGGCGACACTTTCTGACAGCATCAGAGTTGCGCACGCGTTGTTTTGGTTGCAAAAAGGAGGCAACTGGGTTTGAGTTGTTGAATGGGAGAATACTTTTATGGGGAATGTTGGAGCCATGAAAACAGAGTTCCCACAAAACCAGCCGCCTTTCCTCGCTACTCTCCAAATGTCGTTTTCCCAAACCAGTTGCTTGGATGAGCGCTAGTGCCCAGATCCCTTACAGCCCCTTCCCCATTGCCTGCCAGCCCAGAGCATCTCCCCCCCCACCCCCTCCGCCCAGGGATGGGGTCATGGCTGGCAAAGTCTCGGTTAAAGTCTTTAATAATTACAAGAATTCCAGATTCATTACAGAAGAGTTTACAACAAATAATATTTCTCCATACAAAGGCAAAATAAACTTTTCAAGTAATAGCGTCCTGGCTCTGGAGTCTCAATGCCAGTGACAGGGAGGGAGGGGGGGCACACGTAGCCCCTTCCCCGACGAGGGGCTGCCCCCAGCCGGGGAAATGCCCCGACCTCCCGGGCACAGCAAACCGGCACCAGCTCCGCAGAGCAGAGCTCGAGCAGCCGGGCACCGCAACCGCCTCCGGGACGGAGACCGGTGGGCACGGACGGGCAGAGCCGGGTGGCACGATGCCCCGGATGAGGACGCTCCCCCGGGCGCCGGTAAGGCACTGGCGGGCATCGCCCCGGGGAGCGGGGGCTGCGCAGGGCGTGCAGCCCCCCCCAGCCAGGGCACAGCGGGGCTGGGACCGGGCACCGAGCCAGGCTGGAGGGGTTGGTGCCACATGGCACAGCTCCGGTGTCCCGGTGCTTCGGGGGACCAGCATGGGGACCTGCGTGACCCCAGGTCCCCCGGCTCCTTCCCAAAGGGAAGCCCAACTGCTGGGGCAGGGGCTGCAGCCCCCTCCCCAGGGCACCGTCCCGACCCCTCGCCGGCACCACCAAAAACACAGGGCACGCCTGTGCCCCGGCACCCCACGCACCAATATGGTGCCGCGGGCACTTGGCAGGCGATGCCCGGCCCCAGCCCCGCCAGAACCCCGGGAGGGTGCGGGGGGACACAGGGGCCAGGGAAAGGCCAGGCACGTAATGACAACGTATTCCCAAAAGGCATCGACACATTATTATTATTGTTTAATACAACCCCATATAAAACTGAAGCAGCAGCAGCAATTCTTATCGAGGGACCTAAACTGAAATAGGTTTAGAACATAATTTAAAAAAATAAAAACAGCAAAAGTAGCAAAATATATGAACTTTTTTTTTTTTTATAGCAACTGATATCTACCAGCCACTAGTACCTTACTACCAAACTGGTATATCTCTGGTAACAACCCTTTTAAAAAGACATGTAAATATATATTCATATTTATACATATTTTTAGTTATGTACACAGGACTTTTGTTTTTAGCACTGGTGTATTTGGCTGCCTCTATTATCAGTGCTGAGCAATGTATATGCTGCGTCTCCCACTTCCAAGGTACCAGGGGTTTGGTCAGCAAAGCCCATCGGTGCTGGCACTGCTGAGCTGCGGGGCCAGCCCCAGAGCATCTCGGGCAGCAAGCGCCGTGCTGGCAGGATTCCCGCGCCGGCGAGGCTTCTGGCACGCTGACGCTCCCCGGCTCGCACGGCTGCAGAAAACCGGTGCTGGTCTTGGCTTCGCGAGTTCTCCAAGTCGTAGATAAGCCCAGCTCTCCAGGTACTGCCAGGACGTGCCGTCCCGGGAAGGGTGGCTGGCTCCCTGGCAGGGTGCTGCCCACAGGACAGGATTTCAGCTTAACCAAGTGGAAATATTCAAGCACAGACTTCATGGAAAAGAGGTTTGGGTTTTTTTTAAAAAAAAAAGGAATCACCAAAAAAAACACCAGAACAAAACCTTTGGGCTGCAGAGAGCTCACAACTAAGGCGGCAGGAGAAGCTGGCATGAGAGGTGGGTAGTTTTGGTTACGTGAGATGCTACGGTTGTGTCTCTGAACCCTTTCTGCAATAGCTCAGCACGACCGAGCTGCGCAAGCAGCGTCCGCCGGCAGCCGGTGGGCATGGGCACGGCACGGCACGGCACGGCACGGCATGGCATGGCAGTCCCTGCTAGCAGTGCCACCCTCAGTGTCGCTTCAGTCCACCGTTGGTGTGCTGAGGGGGGAACTTGGGAAGACACGGCTCGTCCGGAAGAGGGTCGTGAGAAAAAACAGAGTCCTCTCCCGAGGAGCAGGTGGAGCTGCGGGTGTCCGGGAAGCCGGGAGAATACTGATCCAGCGGCATGGAGAGGTCCAGGTACTCCTGGGAGGGATGAACCCCGAGGATGGGCTCAGGAGGGGACCGGGCATCCCCCGGGGAGTGCCAGCCCCAGGCAGGGTGGGTGCAGGTGGGGGCTCGTGGGTGCTGCCTCTCCTACCTGGTTGGAGGTCATGGCCACGATCCTATCCAGGTCTTCCACCAGCTGCTTGAAGGTGGGTCTCTGGGAGGGGACGGCGTGCCAGCAATCCCGCATCATCATGTACCTGGGAGGGCGGAGGGGAGGCGAGGGCTGAGCCGGAGCTCCCTGACCCCCCACCCACAGGAGCGGAGCAGCACCCAGGGACGGCTGCCGGCACTCTGGCTGGGACCCGTGGCCAGCAAAGACGCTATTCCGTGGATTCAGGGCTAATCCCCTGCGTGGAAGGGAACTCCCCACCCGCCCTCCCGGGCGCTGGAAAGGACACGGGGCTGTTTCGGGAGGAGGATGTACGGGGAGCTAAGCTAGTGCCTGCTCTGGGGTCATCCTAGGATTCACTCCTGCCGAGAAATAACGAAGGGAGATGTTGATTATTGCAAACAGATTGAGCTGATGTTTTTGCAGGGCTGGGAACTGCTGGGAAAGTAACTGAACATCTGCCTGTCCCTCCACCCTGCACCTGCCTGCACCCTGGGCCGGGCGGTCGCACCCGGGGGGGTCCCGACCCCGCGCTGCCGCCGCAGCCCCAGCTCTGGGGGTGCAGGGAGGGGAAGCGGTGCCCATCCCCGGCTGAGCGGGGGGAATTGGAGTGCCAGCATCCCCCTCTTTCCCGGTCGAGCGCTGCACTCACAGCTCGTTGGTGCAGTTGCTGGGCTTGTCCATCCTGTGACCTTCCTTCAGCAGCTTGAAGAGCTCCTCAACCGGCACGCCGGGGTAGGGCGAGCCGCCCAGCGTGAAGATCTCCCACAGCAGCACGCCGAAGGACCACCTGCCCGGGGCAAACACAGGGCAGACGCTGGGGCACCCGGCTCCCGTGGAGCTGACGCCCCCACTTCAAAGCTTTGGGTACAGTTAGAAGTTCGTTTGCTGGGAGGGACAAGCACTAAGAGCTTTGATCCGCTCTGCAAGACAAACGAGTCCCAGCGCCAAATATAATTTGGATTCAAAATATTTTGTCTGCTGACGCTAATTATATTTTCATTAAATGAAGACGAATCACATCTGGTGCACTTTGCCATGGTACATATCGTGTTCACCAGCGGGCGCTGCTACGCGAGCTGCGGCAGGGTGGGACACAACCTCAGCAGGATGCTGCGACATGCAGGCAGCGATGCAGGCAGCAAGAGCGTTGCTGGATGGGGTGGCCAAGAAGGGCCACGTCCCCCAGCTCACAGCAGAGCACCCAGCAGACGAGCGAGGGTTTCCCCTGCACCGGCAGTTCTGGCTGCCCTGTCTCCCCTCGCCGCAGCCCACCGCTGGCAAAGCTGGGCAGGCAGCACGCGTCCCGCGGCTGCTACTCACACGTCGCTCTGGTGAGTGTATATTCGGTCGAACAGAGCCTCTGGGGCCATCCACTTCACCGGCAGACGACCCTGGGACACAGAAAAGCCCCACATCAGCTCCGTGCCGGCACCAGGGAGCGGACGATCTGGCCAGGGCAGCCCTGCACACCCGTGGCATCACCAGCACGGGTTGGGGCATCCCCGGCAAGAAGCGTGGTGCTGCCCTCGCCCACCCCAGCGAAGCCCCTCGCCCACCACTCACGTTTGTCGTCTTCTTGTAGTAATCTATGTGGTGGATGTCGCGAGCCAGACCGAAGTCAGCGATCTTCATCACATTGTCCTCGGTCACCAGGACGTTCCTGGCCGCCAGGTCCCTGTGGATGCACTGACCGAGCGCGGGGCCGTCAGGTGGTCCCCAAAGCCCCCGGATGGTTCCCCACGATGAAACGGGCTGGGAGGGAAGGGTACATCCCCCCCAAGCCCAGCCGCCGGGCTTCCCATCCCACCACGGCCCCCCGGGAGCTCCTCACCTTCTTGGAGGCCAGGTACTCCATGCCTCGGGCCACCTGGTAGGCGCAGGAGACCAAGTCCTTGAAGGAGAGCTGCTCCTCGGGGACGCGGGTAGGGTTGTAGCAGTACTCCATGCCGGGGGGCCGCCGGGCTTGCAGGTACTCCCGCAGGTTGCCCTTGCTGGCGTACTCCACGATCACGTAGAGGGGTCCTGCAGGGACGGCGGGATGAGCGGTTGGACCACGGAGCGGGGACTCCCGACCCCACGGGTGCAGGGTCAGCCCCCTCCTGGCACACGGATGGCAGCCGGAGGGGCAGCAGAGGGGACACCCCCTCCCCGCTCGCGCGCCCTCACCGTCCTGCGTGCAGGCTCCCAGCAGGTTGATGATGTTCTTGTGCTTGCCGATCATCTTCATCATCTCCATTTCAGAGATGAGGTCGGACAAGTCCTTCTCCGTGGCGTCGGCTAAAGCGGCAGAGAAGGCAGCGGTCGGGGTGGGGGGGCCAGGCTGGGTCCCCCCCACACATTGCACACACCCGGCCCCAGCCAGGACTGTGGCATCGTGCCGGGACCCCCCCTTCTCGCCACCACTTACACTTGAGCATCTTCACCGCCACCTTGGTCACGCGGTTTGGCTTGTCCTTGTCGAGGCCGATGGCTTCTGCCAGCACCACCTGCCCGAAGCACCCTTCTCCCAGGGGCTTGCCCAGAATCAGCCTGGTGGGAGGACAGACCCTGACGCGGGGGCCCGCGGCCACGGGGGGGAAGCCAGTTGGTCACCGGCATTGGCAAATGGCATCAGCAGTGCCACCACGCTCCCACCCCGGCTGCTCCAGCAGCTCGTCCCCAGGGCAGAGCGCACGCAGCGGGGATGGGACCTCACCTGTCCCGGGGTAATTCCCACCGTGGATCCTCGGGGAGCTCGTACTCAGAGACGCCGGCCAGCATGGGGGTGCCGCTGGAGGAGAGCCGCGAGGGTCGGACCAGCATCACGCCCGAGTTCATGGAGGAGCTGGAGTCGGCCGACACCTGCAGTGGGGACCGTGGGTTACCTTCATGCAGCGCCGGGGGCCACGGCCGGCTGCCCCCACCGGGAGGGAGATGCTGACCAGGAGCCTTCACGCCCCGACCCTGCCTGCAGCCCCCTCTGCCTGCAGGCATGGGGCCCCGTCAGTGCTGCTTCCACGTTGGACCTGGACTAAGTGGTTTTTAATTAATTCCTGGCACGCTGATACCACAAAATATACAGCCTGGGAGTCCTCTCTCCTCAGTGTGTAAAACACGCTCTTCTGCTCGAAAATTTAAATTGCTGTAAATCCTTCTGGTCCTCCTTATCACCCCCGCTGAGCTGTGCCGAGCTGGGGGCGAGGAGGGGCTGTGCAACCCCCCCTGCTCGCTGTGCTGCCAGTCTGGGGCAGAGCCCACGGACGGTCCCCACGCCGTGCCATGGCCGGGCACAAGGCTGGAGAGGGTTGCATGTGCAGCAGGGCAAGATGGTCCTGGGTCTCCCCCCCATCCATCCTCATCCAGAACCTCCCCCCCCAGGAAGGACAGGTCTCCCAGGAGGGGCAGTAGGTGCAAACAAACCCCCTCTCTACTTTCTGTTACCTGTCTGCGCAGGGGAATGCTCTTGGCCAGCTTGTGCACGGCCAGCTGGCTGTTGAAGTCCGTCTTCTTGGTGGTGCTCTTCATCTTGTAGATGATGACGGTCACCACCATGCAGGAGATGAGGAAGGCCCCAGTGCAGTAAATGATGATCTCCAGGTAGAGGGGGGATGTCATCATGGCCGGGGTGTCTTCAATAGCTGGGTCGGCATGAACAGGGCGTTAGCACCTGTGAGCCCACCAAGGAGCCAGGAGCGGAGCGGTGCTGGGGGAAGCCCCCCCGGCTCCTCCCCATGCTCGGCGGGGACACGCTCTGCATAGCCAGAGGCCTCAGTGCAGCAGGCGGCAAGGACCAGGGGGGCTGCCCACCCACCCTGGTGGGGAAGGCGTGCGGGGACCCCCGGGTTCCTCACCCCCGCGGCCGTGGAACGACTCCGCCGCATCCGCAGGCACGCGACTGGGGCGGGATGGGGCCCTGGGCTAGGAAGGGGTCAACTGAGAAAGGCGTGAAGTGGGGGGCACATGGCCCGTGTCCCTCGCCTGGGGCCTGGGGTTGCTCGCCTATACCACGCTGCAGGGACGGGGCACCCCCAGGGATGGGTCCCCTTCCCAGCTGCTATGTTCTGCCCGCACTCGGAGCTGCAAGTCTCTCGGGGTCTGGGGGCTATCCTGAGGATGGTGGGATGGTGGGGGCTGTCCAGCAGTGCCCGGGGCTGTAGGAGTCCAGGCGTTACTGATAACGACCGGGGAGAGCTCGGGGTAGAGCAGCCAGAAGCACTTCCAGTGGCAGGGATCTGCCGTGGGACCCCTGGCCTGGCGGGGAGGAGGGTCCCGTCCCCGCCGTGCTGCGGAGCAGACCCCGCTTTGGTGGCCGCCGGTGGCAGAGGAGGTGTCAGTGCCGTGAACAGCTCAGAGCACAGCGGCACAGTCCAGTGTGGCTGCAAACCGTGGTGAATCTGGCAGGATGGGAGCTGCCGTTGCACCCCCCTCGGCAGCACTCCCAACCTGACCCCCCCCAAAGAACAGAGCCTCAGAGAGAGGTGTAAGAGGGAGTCAAAGATTTCTGTCCCACCTCCGAGCACACCCGGCTGATAAAGCAGCGACTGGTAACGGGGAAAGTTTTTGACTGGAAAGCAACAACCACACAGCACCCCAAAAACTTTCCCGGCTGCTGTTATCAGGCTTTGGTCCGTGCAGCATTGATGCCCGAGGAGCAGCATCAATGGGGACTGGGGCAGCCGTCCCCGGCAGCACAGCAGAAGCGACACACAGCCCCGGCACGGGTCCTGTGCCGCAGGGCAAGGCCAGCTCCCCGGCCGGCAGGCAGCGCTGCCAGCACCCCCCCCAAATCCCGCTGCTGCCTGGGTGCTCCATGCCCCCCTGCGCAGGCAGCGCTGGCCTTGCCCCGGGGTGCAGGACCATCCTGCTCCAGCGGAGCAGCCCCTGGTTAAATTCCCCTGGGTATGCATTGCCTGGGCCAGGGAGAGAGCGATGGGGGGGCAGACCCCAATCGGGGGCTGAAAGGGGGGCACACAGCGGGGGGACGTGTGCTCCATCCCACTCCGGCTGCTGAGAGCAGCCCTGCAGATCTCCTGCTGCAAGCTAACCAGCAGCGGGTGGGCAGGGGCTAGGAAGCGCTCTCTCCCGGACCACAATGCATACATTGGAAAGGAGGGAGGAAAGGGAGAGGAAGAGGAGTATATACCTTCGAGAACTGTCAACCATGCAGAGTGATGGGAGATCCCAATAGAATTACCCGCCAAACATGTATACTCCCCAGCATCCTCAAATGAGACATTCCTTAAGTGAAGGACTTCCATTTCTTTGTCTGTTGTGTTAACGCCAGCCGTCTAGAAGGAAAAATGGAAGCAAAAAACGGAGAAGCAAACGACATGAGATCTTCTGGGAAGGAGGCCAGAGAGGAGGGAGAGCCCAGTCTCATTTGCCAGACCCCCGGGGAGCAGACAGAGACCACTGCAGACCTGCTAGAGAGACCCTCAGGATGACCACTCATCCAGGCGGACCTAAGGAGATGCTGGTTAAAAACCCTTCACCAAACGGAGTGTCCTGCCCATCTGAACATGCTGGCAATGGGCTACATGGAAAAATAAACCTCAGGCAGAGCCGGCAGGTTGACTTGCACGACACGGGGAGGCACGAGGACGGAGACGGGAGGCTGGAGACAGGAGGGCAGCACAGATGGGGGATGCAGCACCGTGTCGTCCCCAGCCATGTGCAGATGGGGTGCCCGGGCTAGGTGCGAAGGTGCGGGCTGGCCCGATGGCAGCACCCGCAGGGACCCGGGTTTGGTGGTGCCGGACCCACCAGGTACCCAGGCAGTCCTGGTGTCTGCGTGACAGGGTGGGAAGCACACAGGGGAAACATCGGGGGACACACACACAGAGGACAAAACCTAGCCGGCCCCGCTGAGTATTTTTCCATGGCTTGTCGCACCAGAAACACAGCAGAAACAAGAGAGCCCAGAGTTTTGTTTTCCACCGCCGGGGACTGACGGTCCGAGGAAACACCCCGCCGGGCGTTCTTCCGATTACCTTTTGCCAGAGGTCTGGTGACAGTGAGCCACGCAGACTGGTTGGCCTCGCCAATATAATTGGAAACCTTACAAACATACTCCCCGCTCTCCGCCTCTGTCACATTATACAGGGTCAGCACCTCCGCATCAGAGCTATTAATCCCCGAGTGCTGGAACAGACCAACAACATGGAGTCACATTGACGCGGTCAGAAACGGGCAGCGCCCGGAGCATCAGCACCGGCTCTGCCGGCGCGGGGGGCTGCTCCCCCCCCTGGTACCCGCTGCCGGGTGGGAGGGATGGGGCTGTGCACGGGGATGGGGGTCACGGGAGACAGGGGCAGACAGTCATGGGGCTGTAATCCTGCAAGCCGGCCAGGAGCACGGCTGGGGACGGCTGCGAGCTTCGGGAGTTTGCACAGCAGCTGGTTTGCTCGCTGGGAGCAGGACCGCTGGTGTGTGCAGAGGGAGCTGCTTGTGCTGGGACAGATCAGGGGCTCAGCTCCCCACCTCCAGCGCCATTCTCGCTCTCCGGGCTAGCCCCAACCAGCCCCACGGCGTGTGCCTTTAGGGCTTCCAAGGGATTGCGCTCCCCGTTACGCAGCCGAGGAGCCGGGCAGCCCTCCCTGCCCACCTCTCAGCCCGTACTCCTCCAGGACACCCCAGCGCCGAGCTGGGCAGGCTGGTGACGGTTCTGGGGCTGCCAGCCGGTGGTCCCAGCCGCGGGTGGCTCCTCTCACCCACCAGGCAGCGTGGCCACCATCCCGCACGGCTCCCACTGCCCCGCTCCTGCCCCACGGGACGGGCAAACCTGCGGGGATGCGGGTTTGGAGCAGCCCGGCGTGCGGCTTTACCTTCAGGATCTGCACGTAGGGCAGGTTGTCGGGGCCGATCTTGCTGCCGTTCACCTCGATGTGCTTCAGCCACTGGATGTGGGGCTGGGGATCGCTGTAGACTTTGCAGACGAACTCCACGTTGCTGCCCAGGGCTACCGTCTTGTTAGCAGGCAGCCCTGCCTGCAGGATGGGCCGGTGCGGGGACCGCTCTGCAGGACCCGGGGAGACGGGGCACCTTACGATGGGGATCGGGGTGCTCCGCCACCCGCCCATGGGGAAGCACCTGCTTTGCCTAGGGGTGCACCCTGTGGTCCCCCCGATGCACGAGGACCCCCGGCTGGGGTGGGCACTGATGCACCCAGCAAAGCCATGGCATCCCCTTCCCCGGCGGCCTCCCCCCGCAGTGGGGTGAGAGCAGCCAGGAGGGGCTGGGGACAGGGACAGGTGAAATCCCTGCGCGGGGACGGGGACATCAGTACCTATTCGGCGGGGTCAGAGGTCAAACAAACCTAACGAGGGCCCCGGCCGTTAACAAAGCGGCTGCCACTGTGGTGAGTCAGCATTAACAAACCCCTTTGTTCACCTCGCTGACTGTTCCCTTCAGTTTGCTCAGTGTAATCAAATTAAATCACATTTTTAATGGTTCATTTACTGGCATTTAGAGCAGCTCCACATGTGGAACTGCTCAGACCAGCCTTCCCAGCTGGGAATTATGGCTAATAAGGCGATTAGAAAAAGTTTCTGTCTGGTCTATGAAATTATTTCCACCACAATTAAAAATCCCCAGAACGGGTTGAGGTGAACCTTCCGCCTCGCCTCCTCGCGGACCCGCTGTGCCACAGAGGTGCGCACCGGGGCGGGCGGCCGCGGGGACGGCGAGCGTGCCCCGTCCCCGTGAGCGTTCCCCATCCCCATCTTTGCAGGGTGCAGCACCCGTTTCTGCTCGGGGAGGGTGGGATGGACGGGGACCCAGGGTTAGCCCTCCCAGCCCCACGCTCCTCACCCACGACATCCAGCTGGTAGGTGTGGTTGATGCTCCCGTATTTGTTCTCCACGATGCACGTGTAGTTGCCCTTATCGGACGGCACCACCGAATCCATGATGATGCTCCAGGTTGCGTAGCGGACCTGGGGGCACGGGGATGACGACAGAGCCTGTTACGTGCGAAGCACCGTCGGGCTGGAGCACACGAGCCCTCGTTCCCATTCACGTCAGAGCTGGCTCAGCCCCCCCGGCCCCCGCCGTACAGGCAGGACATAAATCTCCCTTTGAGGTCACCTTTCCCCTTTCCTACAGAGGGACCGTAATTGCTCCCAGCTGTCCCAGGACAGCCTCGCCACGGAGCCAACTGCGCCGAGAAGCAGATGTTGTGAGCTGAGCGTGATGGGCTCGCCCGGTGCGCAGGGACACCCCTCTCTGCTGGCCCCAGCGTGCGGAGGGAACAGACCGGCATTGTTCCCCTGCCGCTGCCGTCCGGGAAGAGCTGCTTCCCCCGGCTGGCCCCGGGGCTCGGACCCGCGCTGCTCCCCACGGCCAGCCCCGCTGGCGAGAGGTCACCGTGCCGGTCAGCAGGCAGGGCACAGCCTGAGCGTTTTACACCATGCACCCGGGGCACCTCTGTGGGTGCTGCTGACCCAGGCGTGTTTCATCTGGGACGGGTCCCGGCGGCTCAGCTGGGCTGCCAGCGTTCCCCAGGTCCCTCCTGGCCACGGGGCACAGGGACGGCTTTCCTATGCCCAGCCCCTGCCGCTGCCAGCTCTGGCTGTGGCTCCTCCTGGCAAGACATCCCTAAGCCCTGCTCCCTGCCGGGACGGCCGCATTCCTCCTCCCTACTGGAAACTGGTTATTTCCACAGTCCTGCATTTCAGCCCCATTAGCTATCCAGGGCATCGTGCTGTCACCGTCCGGGGAGCCGCGGTGCTGCCAGCAGCCCCTCTCCTCCTTGCCTGTGAGCCCGCATCCCTCTCCGGGACGTGCTACACAGAGCCCAGAGCCGTGACGTGGCCGCATTCCTGCTGTGTGTCCCTGGCACCTGGCTGGAGCCCACGGCACGCAGGACCACGGCTGGATCCCATTTGCGCAACGCGGTGCATGACTGGGTGGCGAGCGAGTGCCCAAAGCCGTGGCTCCACAGCACCCAGCTGGGCTGGCTTGGGGGTCCCACCGGGGGAGATACCCACCGAGGGGTGTGAGCCCTGTGCAGGCTGCAGCCCTGCTCCAGAAAACTAACTGAGAGATGAAAAATAGGGGTGGTGTTCCCTCGTAGGGTCACCTGGAGAGGTCCCTGGGCTGCAGCTGCTGCCAGCACGATAGCAGCCCCAGATGCTGGAGAAGAGTGGTCCACCCTCTCCTTTGGGAAGGGAGGAAGCTCGGGGGTCCTGGCATGCTGGTCCCACCACTGAGGCTCTTCTGCAGCAGCAGCAACCCCACTGCAGGACCGGAGCCATGAGAAGAGAAAAGCTGAGCCCCCATCCCACCCTACAGCCTGGACCTCCTGTGGGTGCTGGGCGAGCAGCGCTGCAGCCACCTGCCCAGCTCAGGGAGCGAATGTGGCCCCCGTATGCGGGCCAGGGCACCCTCCCTGCCAAGCTGGTACCCCCAGGCTGCTGGCACAGCTCCTGCCGTCCGCTGGAGGGGCTCCTCCACCCTGGCAATCCCACGGCTGCCAGCCAGCCCTGGGAGCCCCCGCGCCTGTCGGGGACGCCAAGACCCCCTCTCCCCGGCGGGGGGATTAGGCGAAGCCGGCAAAGGCAGGCTGGCTTCGTCCGCCACCCCCTCCCCCAGAGGTTGAGCTGGTGCAAACATGACCCAGAAGCAGGTCACTGCCGTAGGGCTATTTTGCAACAGGAATGTCAGAGGGGCCCATCTGCCCCCGCCGGGGGCTGCGCGGACAGGGGGCTCGGTGCCTCTTAAGCTGCAGAGCCCCTTCCCGGTCCTCCCCCTCCCCAAGCCGCCCCAGAGCGAGCCCTCTGGGCCTTTGAGGTGCACAGAGCCTGCACTCGGCCGGATTGAGCCCCACGGCAGCTGCCCGCAGCATCGGCGCAGGCAGGGCCAGGGGCTGCCTCGACAGGGTGCTGCCCTGCACCGCCCTAGCCCCCCGGCTCCGGTACCTTGTACCCCCCGATGCGGTGGTCGGGTTTGAACTCCTTGCCGTTCTTCAGCCAGCGCAGCGTGGGGTTGGGCGTCCCACTTGACGGACACTTGAATTTCACCGTTTTGGCGGCAGGGACGGCGTGGAGCTTCTTCTCCATCTTCTCGGGATAGGTCCAGTAGGGAGCGATGGCCTCTGGGGAGCAGAGCAGGGGGGCTCAGCATGGCTGGCTGGCGCGGGGCACCCGGCCCAACCCCCCGGGGCTTCTGCCACAGGGAGCACTGGAATTTTGCTCAGGGTGCCCAGGGCAGGACTGAGCTGGGAAGCTGGAGAGGTGGGGGCAGCTGAGTCTGGCTCTGGCAGGGAGGGGAGCTCCCAGAGATGGGGTGTTATCCAGGAGTCACAGCAGCCCTGCGGGGCCCTTTCTTTGCAAGGTGCACGCTTGGCATGCGTGGCTGCAGCAGCAGTTACCCTGATGTAGCCATGCCAGCACCCTCCCCTTGCTCTGACCAGGCTGCTTCACCCGGGTGCACCCAGAGCTGCTCCCCACACCGAGCCCTCACCACCACTGGGTGCCCTGGGCTGGAGCGGGAGCCCCTGGCCACCCTCGCTTCCCTTCCTCCATCCCTGGGAGATGCTTGCAAGTGTGCCCAGCTTCCCCTCGCCCCCCCCTGCAAAGGCCAGGGCAGCACCAGGGGCAAACCCATCTCGCACGTACGGTTCGGCTTGGTGTTATCTGCCTCCTTCTCCTCCGAAGAGGAATCGTCTTCGTCGTCATCATCCTCCGCGGAGGGGAGCGCGTCTGCAAGAGAAGAGACAGCCCAGCTGAACAACCGTGCATGGACCCTTCCCAAGCGGGGCCAGTTGGGGACCGGAGCATCGTGGGCTGGTGGTGCGGGACTGTGCCCAGTGGGGCGGCCGGGGCAGGGTGGGGAGGTGAGGGGATCCCAGGTGAACGCCGTGCATGCCCACCAGCATGGCCAGGGCTGACAGTGCCTGCCATCCCAGTGCTCACAGCCCATGGACATCGTGGAGCAGTAGGTGATTTCAGAGCTCCACACCGCGTGTCCAAGCACGGCTCCTCGCCCCGTGCCTGGTGCCACCAACCCCTCTGGGGCAGCAGCCAAGACCCTGCGGGTGCAGAGACACCCCAAGCCTCGGCGGACACCTCCCAACCTCGAGCGTTCCTTCTTCTCCGGCCACACGCTCCGTCAACGCCAACGTGGACCTCGGCTCGTGCCCAGCGTGTGCCCACTCCCGTGGGCAGCCCCGCAGCCCCCCCCCCCAGCCCCATGCAGACAAATAGGCAACCTCCAGCTGCTTCTCCCTGCACTGCAGCAGGTAGGAAGTCACCGCACCGCACCGATAACTCCTCCGGGCACCCCCAAATTGCAGGTCCACCCCAAACTCACCGCGCAGCCGGACAGATCCGCGCGTGGCCGGTGCACGTGCCGGCAAGCATGCAAAGGCGTGCGGAGGTAGCCTGCTCCTTGCTCCGCAGTCCGGCCCCGGGGCTGCCCCTTCCCTGCGCACCCGGGGCCGCTACGAACCTGAGACGTTCACGGAGAAGTAGGTGGTCTCGCTTCCCGAGGGGCTGTTGGTCATGCAGGCATAGAGCCCTGAGTCCTCGGGCACCGCGTCCCTGACCTCTACCTCCTCCCCGGTAATGCGCGTCCGGTTGTTCTCGGCCAGCTGGACGCCGTCGCGCACCCAGTTGATGCTCTGGACGTCATCCCTCAGCCGGCAGCGCAGCTGGAGGAGGTCACCGGGGTGGGCCGAGTAGGACTCCACTTCGATTTTTGCTTTGGGCAGAACTGGAGGAGTTAGGAGAGAGAAGAATAGGAAAAAAAAAAAAAAAAAGGAGAAAAGAAATAGAGACCAAAGGAAACCATGCTGCTGCTGCCGCCGCAGCTCTGTGTTAATGAGGCAACATGCGCTGCTGGGATGTTCCTGCTGCGGCACCGAGGACCGGCTGCCCCAGTGAGCCCGGGGCAGGGGAGCCGGCGGCAGCAGCCGGGGCGGCTGCAGAGCAGAGGGGAGGCAGAGGCAGAGGCTGCGAGCACCCCAAGCAGCTCCAAGCGTTTCACCTCTGCGGTAGCACCCGCTCGGTGGCCGGGGAGTTCAAAAGCACTCCTGCACCCCTCGGTCTCTTACTGAGCACCGTTCGGCCCAGAGGGAGCGTGCCACGGCAGGGGCTTTGAAATGGGGGGGAAACGGGCAACCTGAAACATCTCGGGCAGTGCCAGCTCCTTGGGCAGGATTCAGCCTCTCCCAGGAGCATCCCAAATCCCTGCTGGGCTCTGCCACTGCGCAGGGGTCCTGGGATCCCCACCACCGTGAGCGGGCAGCCAGCAAAGCAGGTGAGGGTCCTCATGCCACCAGGACCCTCGCCCCGGTTAGAGCGCTTCAGGGCAGGGGCAGGAAGGCCAGGGGGATGAGGGGGCTGCGGCAGGACAGCAGGCAGGGGAGCGAGGGTCTGCGAGAGCGGCATCGCTGGGAAAGGTCAGCCCAGGGGAGCTCCGGCAAAACAGGTGCCGGCCACGGTGCTCCTGTTCGCAGAGACCCTAGGCAGGGAGAGCTGCAGCTGCTCCCCGATGCGACATTTGTGTGAGGAGCACAAAGATCCTTTCTCTCCATCCCGCTGCTACGTGATCTTGTCTCTCCTGGCCCTGGTAGTGCAGACATGGCTCCGTCCTCGAGCGAGTGGCTCTCTCGGTCTTGGGCTCGGTGCAGATGTCCGGCTCTCAAACCATCTCTTCAAATTTCACAGCCCGAGGAAGGGGTCAGGCTGCTGCAGCTCCGCAGGCGCTGGGGCTCCCTGCGACAGCGTGGGGCAGATGCAGCATGAGCATCATCCCAGAACAAGCACCACGGGCTGGCGTCCACGGCTCTCGGTCCTGAGCGCTGCCGTAGGAGCAGCACGAAGGGGCACACGGTGCTGCTGTGGACGCTGCTCTCGGGGGCCAGAGCTGCTCGGCAGCATCCCAAAGGAAGCACCGCATTTCCACTGTACCTCCGGGTCAGTGGCGGGCCAGCTTCGGGCAGGCTGAGGGCAAGAGCCGACGGTGCTGCGGGGGCACAGCTGAAGGTCTCCACAGAGCAACTGCTCTGTATCAGAGGGGTCCAGAGTGGGGGCTGGAAAATCCCAACAAACCCTGCGCAGCCAGTCCTGCAGAAACAGTCTGGGAATGTTCAAACTTCAGCTGATCCGTGGCTCGAGGGCTGTTCCCCCCAAGGACCAAGGTGCTCAGCAGGCTCACAGCCCGCAGGCACTGTACTCTGGCCACCGGGACAAGAGCAAAGCCACAGCTCTCCCTTGAGACCCATGCAGCCCCCAGGCAAGGAGCACAGCAATTTTCAAAATAGCAGCTGATTACGAATGCCCACAGCATCCGAGCACACGTTGGAGGGGCTGTCTCACTGCAGAACTAACACTCGTTATCACCCTTGGTGCCCACCGTGCCAGGCAAGTGCAACCTCTTCCCCCCATCCTCTGCGCACACCCCTGAACAGCCACGGAGCAGCTTGTCCTGGGTCCATCAGCTGCCGAAAGCCGGCACAGTGTCCCTGCCTGCACTTAACCCTCCTGGTCAAACATTCCCCTGAGCTGAGCCAGCGCAGGCAGGGAGCGCAGGCTGGCAGCGAGCAGTGCAGGGCTGGGACCGTCAGCAAGGCACCGCTCCTCCCAGGACCCACCAGTAGCTCCGTACTGCCAGAAATGAAAGCTGAGCTCTTCAGAAACTCTCATGTACCGCATCGTGATCTGCACTTCACTTTCTGACCACTTTTCCTTGTACTGATGAGAAGCTTCATGGGGAAAACATCTACGAGCAGCTCCAGAGTTTCTCCTTTTTCTTTTGCTTAGCACTTGAAGGAAAACAGCATGCTGGGGAAGAATTTCGCTTGACCAAAAGCCAGGGCTCCACATCCATCAGTAAGAGGTTACATAGCATTTTAACATGGAAGGTGAAGACTGGTAGGAGTCCCTTAGGTGGCGGGGGAAGGGTCATGCTTTTGCAATCCTGTTTTCCCCCCTGGTTTTCTCTCGCAGCCTCACAGGACGGGCACTTCTAGTAGCTCTGATGTGTGCTTCAAGTGATTAGTCACAGGCATCTTCCAACACACACAATGCAGCAGTGATGTCCCGTCGCTGTCTGCCTGAACACCACGGGACTCGGTAACACAACGTCCTCCTGTCTGTCCTGACTCCCTTCTCAAACAGAGCAAGGTCAGCGAGTGATAAACAGCCACGAAAACCCAAACCAACATAAAACACAGAGCTGCAGCCACAGCCGTATCTGCCCTTATCTCGTTCAGGTCTGCCCTTCCCCACGCACCAACAAACTTATTTCTTATCGAACAGAATAACCTGCAGAAGGTGGCTGGAGCTGCAAAGGACCCCCACCGCCCACGAATGTCCTTCAATGTCCCTGTCACCTGGCCCTGGCCACCCACACACCAGCACACGAGGAGCCATGCGCTGGTCTGGGGTCCGGCGTCCCACAGCCACGGTGCCGAGGTCCGTTGGGTGCTGCTGGACCTGCGGGGTCCCACCACGCTGCAACTGAACCGATGCTGGGCCAGGATCAGTTCTAGCCAGCAAAACACCGCTGTGGTCCAAGAGCTCGTACAGGTCACCTCCTCACCGAGCCTGCCCTAGGGACCACCACGGAACTGCCACCATCAACTCGCCTGGAAAGGTCTGTAGGAAAAACCTGCCCATGCTGGTGCAGGGAGGGAAGCTCCTGCCAGCCCTGTGCTCCCCAAACACCTCTCGGCTGGACCTGCAGACTGGGGAGTGGGCAGCCTGGGGCTAGAAAAGGTCTTTGGAGGGAGGGAAAACTTCGAGCCACACCAGTCCGATGCTGGGGCTTGGGGAGGCAGCGTCCCAGGCTCAGGCGGGTCCCTTCCCATGGGCACAGCATCGCACAGGTCCCCGGGAACCCCATGCAAGTGCCACCGCTCCTTCAGGCCATCGAGCCGCAGGCTCTGCTGTGCCAAGGAGAGCCCGGGCAGGCGGGGGCCGGGGTCCACCGGCGTGTGGCCAGATCGCCTTTCAAAGGCAGCAGCCCCCTCCGCCAGCCCCTCCGAGTCAGAGGCTGTTTTGCATTAACAGCATGACCAGGGAGGCGCGGAGGCATCGAGTGTGATGGACGGGAGAGGGGAGGCAGAGGGCAAGGCAGGATCCTGCCCTTTGGTAACCCAAAGCACATCTCTGGCACTCAGGGATAAGGCGGAAAACGCAGCATGGTGGGAACAGCCTGAAAACGAATTCACAGGCTAATGAGCATGTCCAGGTTAGCTCACCCTCCGAGCTGGAGCGGGGCCGGGCCAGCACACGGGTTTGGACGATGTTGCTGAGGGGCGACCCTGGCAGGCAGACAGTGCCATGGCCGCTGGGATGGCAGCCCAGCTCGCACGGCAGCTGATGCACAGAAGTCCTCTCGGAAATGCAGCCCCTGCGTAAAACCAGGGATTGCAGCGGGCGCACCAGGATCAGCGCAATCCCGGGCTGCCCCTTGCCTGGGAGCAGTCAGCGGCGTGAGCCGTGTTACCAGCATGCCCTCCACGTATGTTAATTAGGGTGAGCCCGTTTGATCACTGGACTCCATCAGCCTGAAACGTCTCTTTCTCATGTTCTGCTTTTCTGTAACCTAAACCAAGGCACCAGGTGCAGCCCCTCCGCAGTGCCGCCAGCCCGGCCGGCTGCTCCCATCAGGGCGCGAGCAAGCCCCGAGCAGGCCACATTAGCAAAAGTTTAATCAGCCAGACAAACGCTTGGCTCTCCTCCCCGGGCCCTTGCCTGCCCTTGCGCTGCAGGACGAGGCTCTGGAGAAGTCACCCGGGTTGCTCCCACCATCACGCAAACGTTGACTGGTGCTGGGCAGTGCCCGGAGTGGGTGGAATTTCTCTCCCCAGCCAAGCTGCAGCAGCACGGCCGGGAGCTGCAGGGGTGCTTACAGCCCCCTTTGAGCAAAACAGGGCAACAGCGAGGAGCGCAAACAAAATACCAGCAGCGCTTGCTGCTCGCTTGCCTGGAGAAAGCAGCAAAACACATGTTAGGTCTGGCACATCTAAACTCTCTGCTGTTCCCTTTTTAACTTAAACTCTTGACGCCGGGGAGGTAGCACCGGCTTCCCAGTCCGGATCCCACAGGGCAGAGCCCTGTCCCTTCCTATCCCAATAGGGACAGGAGCGCTCACAGCTCACGGGGAGCCCCGATGCCCTCGGCGAGGCGAGGGGCAACTCCAGTCCCGGCGGATTGTGCCTCCGCTTGAAACGAGCCCCCAAAAAGTACACGCACGCTGCAACGGCCAGAGCAGCCCGCGCCGGTGTTATTACTTTATTCCAGCTTTGAAATGGAACCAAAAGCGGAGCCGAGCATCGACCACATGGAGAGTGTCACCGAGCGCACGTAACTGTCACCGACTCCCCCGGGGCTGGCCCCCACTGGCGATGCCAGGGGACCAGGGGCAGCAGCCCTGGGTTGAGAAGCCCTGGGCTTAAGCCCCCCCCCACCCCAAAAAGCCTGGGCACCCCCCAAAGCCCAGACGGCGGAGGAACCCGCCGTGCAGCCCCCCCAGAGCGGCGGGAGCCGCGGGCTGTGCCGGCGCTGGCGATGGCAATAAAGCGGCCAACAAAGCGGCGCGGGGACAATGCGGGCGGGGGGCGCGGGGCCACGGCCGCCGGTTGCCCTGGAGACCCCAGCGGGGCTTTCCGAAGGTATTTCCTGAAGAAAAAGCACACACATGCCCGGCAGCCCCGCTAATCCCAACAGGAAGCTCTTACCGGGACGCGGGGATTGGCTTCTTTC